CAGCTGCTGGAGAGCGTCCCGAAGCTGGAAAACCGCCGAGGAGCCCCGAAAGCACTCGAAAACCTCGACGCGTACTCGCGCGGATTTTTCGCCAAGCCCGGCCCGACCGTTCTCCCAAACCCTCGGCCCCGCGGTCGTGTGACGGGGGGTCTCCCGGTCTAGAAGCGGGGGCACGTACTCCTTGCCGCAGCGGCCGAACGCGTGCAAGTAGATGAGAGTGCACGCGTGTGGATGCCCCTCGACGGGACCTCCGCAGGAGAGCAAAGCCCACGTTTTCGACCATGGGCAGCGGGTCACACATCAGCCCTGGGCTGACTTCGACTGTCTTGGGTGGTGTTCTGAAGGTCTTCGGCAGTCTTCGGTGGTCTTCGGCGGTTTCTGGTGGACTTCGGCGGTCTCCAGCGGTCTTCGGCGCGAAAGCTGAATGATTGCGTTCAACAAATGGTCGATGGTCGGACACGTAACCGACACCTCTGGCGGTTTGAAAGAATCGCGCCCGAGGTGTTTCGAAGTGAGTCGCGTCTGGCCGCCGCTTCTGGGCCCCGGGGAGCCGTCGAAAAAAATGGCTCGGGCTCAGGAGCTCGATCCACGGGGAGGGGTCGAGAGCTCATTTGCCAAGCAACTCGACAAGTTCGAGCCGTCAGGGGTCCAAGAAGCTGGACCCTCTTGAGGGAGGGGGGGGAGGTGATCGAGCAGAGGGAGAGGGGAGAGGGGCAGGCCAGGCGCGCCCGCGGCACATCTGCACATTCTGACCCTGCCCTTCCCGTCCCTTTCCACTGCGCTGAATCATTTGCTGTTCGCCGAGTCGGATCGGGGTTCGATCCTTGACTGGCACTTGCAGCGCTTGGCCCGCCATGAAGACAGCGGTCGGGAGGGGAGGGAAAGGGCGGGAAGGGGAGGGAAGACTGGGGGAGGGGAAGGAGCTGGCTAGAGCTCAGGGAGGGAGAGGCCAGGAGGGGAGGGAGGGGGAAGGATGGGCGTGGAGAGCGGCGGTGAGGTTGCATGCTGAACGGATACACTCAAAAGCCTGGCCACACAAAAAAGGCTGGCCGGCTCTGGAACGAAAGCTTGGCCCAAGCTCGCAGTGAAGCCCCTCCCCTGGTATTCTTCCCCGCCCAGTCGCCTGTCGCTGTGTCCTCGAGCTCCTGGGAAGGAATCTCCAAGGTCGCACGCGGTGCCCGCTCTTCACGCGCGCAAGGGAGCGTCTCACAGGCCAGCTCCATGCCGGAGTTTGGGACGAAAAAAGAAGCAGGACCCAACCGAGCAACAACCACTGCCAGCTGGGTTCAACTGAGAAGGCTATCCTGCCCGACGGTTTTGAAATCACACCAAACCCTCCACGGCGTGAGCGGTTTGGAGAGTTTCCTATTCCAGCCCCCCTCCGTCCCCTGCGGAGCCCCTCCCACATACCTCCTCCCCCTGGACCTGGAGGGAGGGGGTCGCGACCAGTAGGAGCGTCCAAGATGGCCTCGGCCAGAAAGCCTCATCATAGATTTTACTAAAGATTTTGACCCGATTTGGTCCCCCGGTGCGGGGGGGGGGGGGGCAACGCTAATCAAGTACGCCCCTTTCTCTGATCGAACTCCTCCAAGATGGCCACAAGATTGCCCCCAATGCTCCCAAGAGTGCCCCAAGACAAGAGGCGCCCAGGAGGTCCAAAGAGGCCCGCACGAGGTCCCTAAGAGGCTCCCAAGAGACTCCCAAGAGGCCCAAAAAGGCTCCCCTGAGGCACCCAAGACTCACCAAGATGCCCCCGGGGCCGCCAAGAGACATCCAAAACGCCCCAAGAGGACTCCAAGCTCTGAAGAGACATCCGAAGAGACCCCGAGAGACATCCGAGGGCCTCTGGCCTTTCTGGTCGCCCTCCTCCTCCTACTCCTCCCCCACCACCACCATCACCGTCACCATCACCATCACCATCACCATCACCATCACCATCACCATCATCATCATCATCATCATCATCATCATCATCAGCAGCAGCAGCAGCATCATCATCATTGACATCAGCAGCAGCAGCATCATTATCATCATCGGCATCATAATAATCAACACCCGTATCATCATCAGCATCATTATCAGCAGCAGCATCATCATCACCATCATCTTCATCATCATTATCATCATCGTCATCAGCATCATCATCAGTAGCATCATCATCGGCATCATCAGCATCATCATCATCATCATCATCATCATCATCATCATCATAAACATCGCCATCATCATCACCATCATCATCAGCATCATCATCATTTCATCGTCCGCCACTTCCTCCTCCGTCCTCCTCCCCCGGCCCATTCCCCTCTTCCTACTCCTCCCCCTCCCCCTCCCCCTCCTCCTCCTCCGATTCCTCCTCCATCCTCCCCCTCGTGGGATACGACGGCTTCCCCAGCCTCTCGTGCTACTGCATGCTCCTCCACGTCTCTGATCAGGGGAGCTCGTTGCTTCTGGATAAACTGGTGGCTTTACGCGGAGTCTAGAATAACTCCATCGGAATTGCACAGGCCGCCTGTTTGGATGGATGTCTGTCCGTCGGAATGGCGAAGCACAGCACGGCACAGCACCGCCCGTCGGAATGGCACAGGCCGTCTGTTTGGACGGACATCCGTTCGCAGCCAGCCCTCTCTGCTGAGACACATGCCGGAACTCATGTGTTGAAAATGGGTCTCAAAAAGAGGGGCTGCCGCTGGGCACCCTGAACTTGATGGCACCACCCTGTCGCACTCCCTATATCTATATATATATATATATATGTTTATACGTCTAAACATATATATATATATACATATCGATGGGTAGAGCGCAAATTGTGCAAATGGCATTCCAGCCTCTTGAGTTGAAGGACTGAGCGGCGTTCGTGTTTTAAGAGAGGGTGCTTCGTGCGGTGACATTGAACGCTTGCGGGTACTAGCCAGCGGGAGGCGTGAAACGGGAGGATGCGTTGCAACATCGTTGATCCCTATTGGCTTCACTTCCTCCATTATCGTCCTCCTCCGCCCGCCTCACCATGTTCCATTATCCTGTTCCTCCCCCTCCTGACCATTCTCACCATCACCCCCATCACATCATGATCAGCACCTTCATCAGCAGCAGCAGCATGAGCATCGGCATGACTATCGTAAGCATGATCCGCATGATGATCCTCATCTTAACCAACACCTTCATCACTATCAAAATCAGATCCGTACACATACTCATAATCATAATCATGCTCCGCATCATCATCACCATCATAATCATCAGCAGCATCAGCATCGCCATCGTCATCATCATCATCATCAGCAGCAGCATCATCATCGTCATCGTCAGCATCATCATCATCATCATCATCATCATCATCAGCATCAGCATCAGCATCAGCATCATCATCATCATCCTCATCATCATCATCATCATCATCATCATCATCATCATCATCATCATCATTAACATCGTCATCAATAGCATCATTATCATCATCAACATCGTCGTCATCATTAGCATCAGTATCATCGTCATCATCATTAGCATCATCATCATCATCATCATCATCGTCGACATCACCAACATCATCAGCATCAACATCAACACAAGCATCATCATCGACATCATCAGCATGATCATCATCAGCAGCAGCATCAGCATCATCATCACAATCATCACCATCAGCATCATCATCAGCATCATCGTCAGCATCAGCATCAGGTCATCAGCCGCAGGTCATCATCAGCATCATCAACATCGTCATTGTCATCGTCATCGTCATCATCAGCATCGTCATCATCATTATCATCACCATCATCGTCACCACAATCAGCATCATCATCATCATCGTCGTCATCACCATCATCAGCATCATCATCATCAGCAGCATCATCGTCATCAGCATCATCATCAGCCGCAGGTCATCAGCATCGTCATAATAATCAGCATCATCAGCATCATCAGCAGTAACAACATCCGCATCATCATCATCATCATCATCATCATCATCATCATCATCATCATCATAATCATCATCATCATCATCATCGTCATCGACATCAGCATCCGCATCATCATCATCAGCAGCAGCATCATGGTTATCATCACCATCATGAGTATCAGCATCATCAAGAGCATCCTGAGCACCATATTCCTCATCTTCTTCATCATCAGCATCGACATCACCATCAACATCAGCAAGTATCATCAATAGCATCGTCAGCATCATGTTCATCAGGTCCATCATCATCAGCAACAGCACCATCATGAAAAAAAATCACCTTCACCATCATGACATCACCACCATCATCAGGAGCAGCAGCATCAGCACCACGACCAACACGACAACCACAACTGCCCCCCTCGTCATCACAATCATCATCCCACTTTTCCTGTACCATCTCACCCCCTCCTCCCCCCCTCAATCCTCCTCATCCTCC